AAATTTAGATGGAGTTTTACATTTAATGATTTTAAAGTTAACAACAACATTCACATATATATTGCCAATTACTAAAATTATTACACGTTTATAAAAAATTTTGTAAAAATACCATGCAATTATGACATAAAATTACGCATTACTAAGAAAAGAAAAAAAGTAAAGCTTCGAATTAAAAGGCTAATTGTAATTCCGGAAACTTTTGTTGAATAAAATGTAATTATATTACATATAGAGTCCACAATGTGATATCGAGATGTCAATTGATCAATTATATATCATTTTATCAGCGTTTCTATTACAAATATTCATTTCTTAGTGCAAATTTTCATTTTACTTCCTCCTTTTTAACACGCGGACGTCATTATTGTTATCGAGAAATAATTCACATTGAACATGAAACATTGAAGTTTATTATTGTATCTTTGTCCGCCTCTATTCGTCGCACATATCTGGTTATCATACATGATTAGTCGTACACATAAAGCAGTCGTTACATTAATTCTTAATGGGTTTTTCCCAAGGCATCAGGAAATATCCTCAGTTTAATAGTTCTGTGATATTCTCGTTTGTTATTTCGATATAACCTTTATCTTTAAACGATATCTTGTCATATATTTTGATGTTTACTATTTCTCTTAAATATTTCTGAGAAATAGATGATCTCATTACATATACACGAAACATACATTGTGACAAATGTTTTGCAATATGTTTAATCACACTTAAATTACTTAAAATATAAAAATTATAAGTGTCAGAAATTTTTAGAAAATCAAATTTTTATCAAGATTAACAGCATTACAAAAATTTACAAATTCTACGTGCGGCAATGGCAAGAAAAAGCCAAAAAAGGAATTATTTTTTTGTGAAGATAAATTATTTTAATAAAAAATATAATTTTTTAACATCATTTTTAATTTATAATTTAAAAAAATTATACATATTTATTATAAACAACGATTAATATTATTTATATATTTGATTTATTATAATTGCTATTTCAGATACAAGATTTTTAACAACTATGGATATCGATAAACATTATTACGTAGACTATACATGATATTTTTTGCGCACATCGACATATATAACAATTATATGTATTTTATTCTAAACTTTACCGGTTGTTATGTAACACCGCGATTATATAAAGAATGTCTTAAGTTCATTATCTTCCCTTCGACGACAAATACTGAAGGCCAAAGGATCATTGTTCTTTCAGTGTTTGATTTGTTAAATAGAAAAGAGCGAAGTGAACTAATAAATTTTGATAAACTACTAATAAACTTTGATTTCAGAAACTAAATGACGAAATATTATAATATATAGTTTAATAAATAATATTTTAGTTTAAATATATAAAAATATATATGCACATATCACAAAAGATTAAACTCATCAAAATTGCTTTTTTATGTTTTAAACTTTAATTTGACAAGAAGTCACAACCGAAGCTTTTGGAAAATTAATCTTCAAGTTAAGTTTGAGAAAAATTGGGACATAAACGTTTGGAAAAAAATCAATAATTTTCCGATATTCTATATGTCTCGTATGTTAATGTCCTGCCGTATTGATCGCATTTATCGCCATTTATATAATTGTCAAACTTTTGCCCTCTGTTAACTCGATAAAACCAGGGTCGCGTATATTTACTGAAATAATATTTTTCATTATCACTGCAGTATCATTGCTCATATTCTTGTTTATCGCGTTTCTCGCGTTAGCTCTTTGAGAAACTCGGGACTTAATTAATTTCTGTTTTACTTAGCGGCTTATGCAGCGGCAATTATTAATTCCGCAATGGAATTTAAATGGAAAAAAGAATGACGTCTTTGCTTTAAATATCAGTAGAACGATCTGTCGAAAACAGATTTATGTTGCGCGATTAACGACGACAACGAAAAGTGATGGTTTGAATCATTCACCTTGATTTTACACATGTTCATAAATCGAAGAATCATTATTTATGTAATTACTCAATACATAGCTCAGTTGTATGGAAATTTCCTTTGCGAAATTTTACTTATACCTCTTACCGTCGTTCGTTATTAATGAAAATTTTTATATTTATTATTTTATTAATTAATTAATAAATGGTATCAAAATTATTTATTTGCATTTTCATGTTTATATGTATATTATATAATATATAATATAACTATTTATTGAAACTATTTATTATGAAAAGCATAGTGTTTAATAAGTATATAATATATAAGTATATAATATATTATATAAGTATATAAATATAGAAAATTTTGTAATTATATATACATATATATATATATATATATATATATTTCATATCATAATGTTTAATAATATTTGATGTGTGAAAAATTATATTGATTATATTATTTTTCTTGAATACTGTTATGTAAAGATTATGGATATGAATATCCAATGATTATCTCATCTATCGTACATATAATTTGCGTACATATAATTTATTATGACAGTTATTTGAAAATAAGGTAACTGGTAACTAAAAGTAACAAAATTAATCCAAAATATATATTTATAAACAAAACACAAAATTTTTTTAAAATTTGATTTTCACAAAAATAAGTTTTCATTTATTGATTAAACTTTAAGATTTAAACTTTAGTTCATAAAATATCGCTTCATTACTTGCATAAAAATGTAATACTGTTATTGGCCTTTGGCACATCCTTATTTTCATACCGCAATCCTTGAAAGTCTTGTATATTATGCAGGTATATAATGTGTAAATATACGCATGTAACATTTATGGCGATGTGATAGTTTCACATTTATCTTGAACATCATGATCGACTCTTTATTACAATTTGTATGCAACCTTCAAAAGCAGATGTCCAATTTTTGATAATATATTGATAATCTTAAAATGCTCAAAGCAATGATCTTTGATGTTATATGTATTTTAACAATACGTTATTGTATTAAAATACTAACAGAGAGATAAATTGGATTTATTTTCTTTCAAAAATGATTACGATTACAAAAATGATGATAATTACATAGTAAAGCGTAAAAATATTTGAAATTTTATTATTATTAAAAATATTGTAAATATAATATTGTAATTTTTTTTATTACATATTTTGACTATTATTAGTTACTATAAATAATATATTGGATTTTGATGAATTTATTATTTTTTTTGTTTTTATTATTGCAGTACAAAGAAGCTTTTTGGCATTTTGCCTGTTTGCATCAGCCATGGCCCAACCAACTGGAACCGATTTGGCCCTTCAAGCCGTTTCCCAAGGTGCTCATTTGTTCTCGACTAATTTCGTCAAGGTATATTGATTAATTCTAAATATTTATAAAGTTTTCTATTAGACTAATACTGTATATAATTTTTCTCATATTGCTATTAATTTAATATTATATTTAATACACTATTTTTATTTTAATACACTATTTTTATTATCATTGTTAGAAAATGAATCTGATAAAATCTATATGTTTAATTTTACATTTACATTAAATAGTATTATCATAATTTAATGTTGAATAATGAAAAGAAACGTTTGATTCTCAAACATTATCTTGATTAAGTTCTGATATTCATAACAAATAAAAATACTATTATTAGCTTGAAAATAGGATAATGTTCTTATCGAAATTATTCTTTTTTTAGACGGTTGCACAAGAACAAGAAGGCAATTTGATATGTTCTCCCTTGAGTGCCAACATCGCCTTAAGTATGGCTGCTAACGGCGCTGCTGGAACTACCGAAGCACAATTTAAAGATGTTCTCAAATTACCATCCACGAAAACACAGACTTTAGAAGGCTATCAGAATCTCATTGATAAATTGAATGTAACTATCAAATATACTGTATCAATATATACTGTAATTTTTATACAACATGTCGCAAAACATAAATCTATCGAATTAAATTGTTAAAATGTGCGTGTGCAGAATATTATAAAAAATAATATATTTATAAAGCACGAATTTTTTGAGTTAACAAATTATATTATTAGAATATTTATTGTTATACATAAAAATATTATGTACATGTAATTATCAAAGCATGTAAATCTGTCATCTACTGAATTAATTTTATTCTTACGACATATTTTATGACACTCAATTAACAAATAATAATTATTAATTTGCAGGATGTTAAAAATGTTACTTTAAAATTAGCTAACAAGCTATTTGTCGGCAAAGATTTCCCGGTGAAATCTGAATACAAGCAGGATCTTCAGACGTACTATCATTCTGATATTCAGACGGTAGACTTCACTAAAAAGGAAGAAGCCGCGGGTACCATTAATACCTGGTGCAAGGAAAAGACTAACAATCGCATCGACAACATCATTCAACCCAGTAAGGAACTATTTTTTATTTTATTTATTTATTTTCTCATACACATTTTTATATAATTTTACACAATGAACCGAAAATACAATGTTTTTATTTTTTATATTTGCATGCATAAATAGATCAAAATAATTTAACTTAAATTAATTTTAATAAATAAATATATTATGAAAAATACTAATAATTTAGTAGTACACATTTTTGTTATCTATAAATATTTAAAAATTTTTTTAAAAATATTTATTAATAGTATATTTGCATATCTATATAAAAATTTACTCTTTTACTGAATTTACATTTAAACAATATTCATATATAATATTCATATATAATTTTTATTATTAATTATAGATGAAGTGGATCCTTCCACTGCACTGGTGCTGGCAAACGCAGTATACTTCAAAGGCAAATGGGCTAAAGAATTTGATCCTAAAGCTACCACAGATCATCCATTCCATATTGATGCCAACACCGTAAAGCAAGTTCCTACCATGTACAGAAAGGGCAACTACAAATACGCCGAATTACCGGAATACGATGCTAAATGTATCGAACTGCCATACGCGGTAATGTTACTTTCGTAAATTTTTAGAAAAGTCTAGTTAAATGTATAAAATATTTTCACCAAGATATGTCTGTTTTACGATGCCTTGTGACTCTTTCTTTATGAGTTTAATTTTTATTATTACAGGATAAAGACATCAGCATGGTGATTATCCTACCCAATAAAATCGACGGTCTCGCTGCGCTGACTGAGAAACTTGAATTAGTTAGCGCGGAATGCAGCACTCGTCTTGCCCAAACATACGAACGAGAAGTTCAAGTGTATCTGCCCAAGTTCAAGACCGAGACTAAGTTGGATCTTGGAAATACATTATCTCAGAAGGTATATTACAACTTTATCGATATAATCGATTAGCAAAATAAATATAACATCGTATTTATTCGCAATCTTGTCTGCTACAGATGGGTCTTTCTGAGCCATTCAGCAATGGCGCCAATTTTAATGGCATCTCCAATGTACCTTTGAAAATTGATAAAGTCGTGCAGAAGGCTTTCATCGAGGTTAATGAGGAGGGTAGCGAGGCGGCCGCCGTCACTGGTAAGTACATCTTGTTTTGTTTTTTGAAGATGTTTGTAGCTGAAAACGAGCGAAATATTATCTTGAAGTTATTTTGAAGTTGAACATAAATAATCTTCAAATACGAGAATACAATGTGCAAATCAAATAATTTAAATACTCTCAGTTTTTCCTTTATCGCATTATTATCTATCTTATTTTTATTGTTTTACAAAATTTAGACATTTTATAAAATTTATTTTATAAGAAAATTATAAACATATAGAATTGAATAATATGTAACCAAGCTATGAAGTCTAAATTAATAAATACGATAGGCAATGTTAATTTTATATTAAGAGCAAGATAGTATTTCGCCTAATTTTATTTTTTGGGATACATCGAGATTCTTTTTCGCTTCTGAGAAACTCTGAGAATCTGATTTCGAAAATGATTTAATTATGCCTGTGCATGTGTATTGTTATTTTTATGTGTTCTGTTAATCATATTAATCACGTTGCAAAATTCAAAATTTCTCCCTCTCGGAGTTTCCGCGGCACGGATGTATGTGATTTTGTACGCTGCCGTGATTTTGAGCTGAATGTTATAGCTAAATGTTGCTGTATAGCTAAATGTTATAGCTAAATCTGCTTTTTATATCAACAGATTTGCTAGTCTACATATAACTTTCATACTTTTTTATCTTTTCTTTTTTTCTTTTGCCTTCTTCATTTTTGCGATCATATTATTACATTGTTAAATGCTTTGACATACACCATACCGCACTGCAATCTTTTGATTGTACATTTATTATTTACGTTGCACCTATTAGTTTTGTTATGATTTCCGTCATAGATAATTGCATAATAATGTATTGATAATCGAAAAAATGTTATAATTTAAATTTTCTAATAAATGAAGCGTTTTAATGTCTTAATGACATTGATGCGCGCTCGTATTTGATTTAAATCTTTCATGCAATTAATATGAAAGTATCATTATAACTTCTTCTGAAGAAATAATGGAATTTTCAGATAATACAAAATTCAAAATTTAGAAATTTTTAAACACGCTATTGCATTTAAATCAGAAATTTTATAAATCTTTGTATATTCTTTAAAAAGGGGAAAAAAATCGCGTGAGTGTGATTAGACACTGAAGTGCTACAAGTTCAAATTTTTGAAATTAAAATAGACTATAGACTTTTATATTCATCTCAACATTAAATCTCAATGTTAAAATGTTAACTTTAACAAAATTAAACTAAATTATAACTTTAACAAAATTAAAAGATTTGTCTATTGACGTCACTGGAGAGTCACTACGTGATTTACAATTACGACGATAAGAATATAATCGTTATAATGATGCTACGTAGATAAAAATACAGTGAATCGCGAATATTGTGGTTTACGGGTTATCACTGTATTATAAATAATTGCTAATTAAATAATAAGTAATTTAATCATCTCATTAGAGTATGCTAACCAAAGTAATAAGTAGAATCAATGATAGCTACTAAGGGAAAAGAGAGAGGAAAAGACAAAATTCTCAAGAAAAATCTCTCAAAACTTTGGTGACTACATCGTAAGAAGCACATAATGAACTAAAGGTTTCATCATCACTATTTATTAATTGAATCATCAATCTTCGATGTGAACAGTTTTATTATACCTCAATGACAAAGTAAATCGCGTTTTAATTATAGATCTGGACACAAAATTTAAATATAACCGAGAAAACTCTTTTTTTTTTAATCCGATATATATAGGAAAATTAGTAAAAGAAATGTGGACATAGTAAACATTCATACACAATGGATGGAAGATTTTTAAGTTCTGAAAGAAAATACAAAAAGCATAATACAAATAATGTATAAAGCAAATGATTTTCATTGCTTGACTAATGATCTGCTGATTCCATGGTGATCAGTGATGTACATTACCATGGTCTAAGTTCTTCTTTCTTTTTCCTGCATTCTCAATTAGTCTCTTTACATTCTGATCGAGTCTTGGCATGGGCATATTCAATAATATCTCATTTGAACATTTCACACGTACTATCCAAGAACGCACCTGGTCAGTTTATTTGTTAAAACGGACAATTGATAGAAGGAATGATCTTCTGACAGGTGCCTCTGTCAGACCCCTTTCGAGTGTTTGGAAACCGGTGGAGCCTATTATACTTCACATCGATCATCCTTTCCTGGCGATCATTAAATACAAGGACGTCACGTTATTCGTAACGAAACTTCTGCGCTACTGATAATGGATATTTATATCTTGTGCATAATGATAAAAAAATAGCAGTTAGTGTCTTTTGTATGTACTATTATTTCATGACAAAGACATGGATGCACAATATTTTTTAATAATATTTTTTGAATTATTCGTATATTTTTATTACATATCGATTTTATCGATACTCTCTCATTGTCTCTCTTTTTGCGAATTCCGAATAATAAAAAATTTTTTTACGACATATAATTAATAATAGAGACTTAATTTATGATCAATAAAGTATACTTATTTTATAATATTTATATAATTTTATATTAAATGTTATATACTGATAGTATGTCGTGAGATGTGTAATTTATAAAGCATATCTTGAATTATATTTGGATGTGCACAAATTGGAAAATGTGCAATTTTGATACTATATTTAACACGCGCGCGATTAATATATTAAAAAAGACTCTATTTTTCTCTTAATTTGTTATACGTATTATGTGATATGTAAAGAATTGCTTTATTTAATAGATTGCATTATTTCACAATCTAAAACTATAAAATATTAATCGAATATTTGATAATTTCAATTAAAAACGTAATATATTTTTCAGTCATTTTAATATTTTGCTTTTTTTTGAAGCTTTATTATACTTTTAAAATTTTTATCATCAATATTTTTATCTTTGTCAGTCATTTTTTATTTATTATTAAATTTTTATAACGCAACATCAACATTTACAACGTTGATTATAGGAATTTGAAGTACATTTAAATCGGTTCAAAAAAACATTATTTTTAAATAATGTTTATTTTATTTTATTAAAATTAATTTACTTTTATCTATGTTAAGAATATATTACAATGAATTATAATTATTATAATAATATTGCTGATAATAATAAAATTAATAATAATATAGTTAATGTCAATATTTTATATAAAAAACATAGGAAATTATCTTTTTAAATTATTAATATAATGTCACAATATAATATAATTTTAATATAGAATTATATTAATTGTAATAAAGATATATATAAATTCCCATGAAAATAAAAAATTAAAGCTGCATATATATATATATATATATATTTTTTATCAAGAATCTATTTAAAAGTACTTCGAAGCTTTTTTGATTCTTCAAATTTTACTGAATAAAAGATAATATAGTCGAATCTGACATTTCTCTGGTAGGCATCAGCAACCGAAGATTTCTACCTGATTTCGTGAACTTCAAAGCGAACAGACCATTTTCGTTCGTAGTGCGGTGGTCAAACGATTTCGAACTATTCCAAGGCGAGGTGCATGAACCGAAATTAAAAAGTTAACGAGGTGTGTCGTGTGAGCATCATAAAATGCGGTAGCAAAATAACGATAAGAGGCACCCCTATAAATCTGCTTCCCTATTTTTTTCTTTTTCTCTTTTCATAATATTTATCATTTGCAGTTATTACTCGCTGCAATTCATTCACATTTCGCAAGTAATCGATTATCTCGCTAGCTCCTATGGTTATTTATATATGGTTATTTTATGGGGAAACTAGTCTATCCACTTTTTACAATTGTAAAAATTTGAACAAATTTGAAATTACAATTGACGCAGTATTAATTAGTTAACAGAGCGAATATCGGGGGAGGAAGATATTCTTTCAGAAAGGATTGAAAATTGAATTGAATTCGTAGCAAAGCATGCAAGCGTACATTCGTGCATGGACGAAATCGCATTGACGAAAAAGGAACGATGTCGTCAAATATCTCATTGTACGATGTCTGATTGATGGATGTTTTGTTCGCAGCTACGTTCGTTGTGCTACTTAGTATAGGCCCACCGAAATTCGAAATAAATCGACCATTCTATTATCATATTCGTTATAATAACAGACTGTTTATATCTTTGTTCGAGGGTTACATAGACATGTCAGAAGTGTATCGTGCGCAGAATTTCCAATATCCAAATATTCACAGTATTCCGAATATAAATGGAGCGTATTCAATATTCGACACGTTAATATTTAACAAACGCTAAAACGATAAAAAAATTCTAATTGGCAATAATTATTGTGATTATCGTTGCAGCTGAACATTTTTAATATATCGATCTCAATTGATTTAAAAATCTCAAATTATTAGCATCTGTATAACATCTTACTCCTATTTTCAAATAAAATACATCCTTAATTGGCGATTAATATGCTTTGTACTTTGTAAGTTACCTGTAAACATCTCTAAATACCCTCAAACTAAATACCCTCAACTTGATAGAATAATTCAAGAAATCGAGTCGTACGTATTTGAAGCAGTATATTTAAAAACATTTATATTCACGTATGTGCGCGAAGAAATTCTGAATGATCAAGTATGTAACACAGAAAATTTCTGTTTACAGCTATAATTATGGTGGACAGCTTGATAATAAACTTGGAATCCATAGAGTTCAACGTAGATCGATCATTCTATTATCGTATTCGTTATACTGAAACAAATCTCTCGTCCATACCTTTGTTTGAGGGTCACATAAACAATCTGGAAATATGATATTAGATATTACTTCATAAAAAGATGTTGAATCTAAATATCAATATATCTGCTTCTTCTTTTATCAATTTTATTACCATATATTATTCAATATATGTACACATCTGTGTTTTTTTTTGTGTTCTGAACCATCTTTTCTATAGCTAGATGGTTTTGATATTGTTTAACAATATAATTATTCGAATAAAAATTGAAATACCAAATTTAACGGAACATGTGTTTGTGCAGAAAAAGTTTTTAGTGAATCGGTGAATAACATAATAAACATCATGAACAGGTGAATACATTATTTTTTTATATTTTGTTCACAGCTATTATATTTGCCGTTACCAGCCTACAGATTCCTCAACCAGAATTAGTATTCGATGTAAACCGACCGTTTTATTATTACATTCGTCATAACGATGAGACATCGTCCATATCTTTATTCGAAGGCCGTGTGAACATACCAGCAATATAATAAAAATGCTCTGCAAAATAATAATAAAAATATTTTGCGAAAAATATTATTGATCTAAAGATTTAAATATCGGTGCTTTTCTCTGGAATTCTTTCTCATTTGCTAATGATATTATCCATTGAATTGAGTATTAAGTTTAAATGTAAGGTTGACAATATGTATATTAAATTAAATTAAAAATATAATTTCCAATTATATTTTCGTGCAATTTTGTATTTACAATAGTAATAATAAAGATTATATTGTCTGCATCTTTTATTTTTTTGTTGGGACGTCATTTCAAACTTATCAAAAGTGTAATGAATATTTTACACACAACTTATTATCTAAACATTTAATTTTAAATAAAACGATTTGATGATTTAAAATATATACTTATTTTATTCATAAGGAAATGTTACTAGCATGATATTCATTGCTATTATGATCACTTTTTTAAACTGGACATTCTCAGACATTTAATCTCATTATAACAATATGATTTTAAAGTCTGACCTATTCAATATTTATATAATTTTATTTCATTTTTAAATAATATGCATCGTCTTCTGGCAATTAATATTATTCACTGGCTTAGAGTAACTGTATATTTGCGATCTAGATTATCTATATTTTTAAATGGTGATAAGAACTATTCTGTAAAATAATTAATGAAAAATTGAGAATTACGTATCATACTCGAAACAACAGTGAAACAGAAAGACGTTTGAATAAAAAAGAATCTTAAACGATTAAGTACATATAACAAATGATTTTTTTATACTCTGTTTACAGTTGTGGAAGTCAAACTTCACAGCTTTTCAGCAGTCAGTGTACCATTACTAGAGTTCGACATAGATCGACCATTCTTTTATCAAATCCCATATCGGTCATCGAACAACTTTTTGTTCGATGGCTATGTGAAGGTGCCTTAAATGCATTGGCATAGAAAAAATTACATATTAATTCTTCAGCATGCTGTATAGAAAATTTTTCAGCAATTAATTTCGCGTTAAAAATTTGTTTAATTTTGATGAAAGTGATCAGATTATTTTATAATAAACAATATATATATATATATATATATAATATATAA